TCGACTGTGTCATGGCGATTTAGCACGGCGCTACATACCAACCGACAGTGCAGATTGTCTTTTTGTTTATGATGCTGATTAACAGAAAATATTCAAATCAAAGATATGGAAAGATAGCTATAATCGTTAATATTAAGTTGGTATAGTGTATATTTATGGGCAGGAGGTTCATGATCAAAACCTAAACATTTAATGGCCAAGCCCGAAGTGATCGACAGGGCACGTTCGCATCATATCTGTGCCGCGATTTCTTGTTTACCGGTTGTCCTACATACTCGCCCGTTCAAACAAATAACTGCTACTTTTTTCATTTGAAATGACTAAGAGTCATGTGTGATTGCTCAAACTACCTGACCGTGTGAGTGACTTGCCCTAACTGTTTCACATTTTGTCGCAAATGGAGATTTCAAAAGTGTGGCCACGAAATCTAACGTGAGTCGACGCCATATTGTAAACAAATTGTGTCAAGGTCGGTCTTTTATTAAAGATTTTGCTGGTTAAGTTTCGAAGTTCAATACCAAGAATATATTTTTCCTTTTATGACAAATAATTCCATTACTTTCATTGACATACGATCATTATCTATTTCAAACTTTTCCTTCAGTAGAATGGGATGGAATGGGAAACTAGTGGAAATAAACTATCACGTATGTTCTGAAGTGTACATGTAGATACCTAGCTAGGTGTAAATAAACTAAGTCGTATTTATAAATCAAATGAATAAATGAAAGAAAAAGTGGTATTTCATGGACTGGCCATGCAAGTATATTTTGAGCAAAGGTCTAAGTTAGGCAGCCAAGTGCGAAATACGAGCTGATACGAGGATTTATTACCCACGTGGTGAAGATACAGGTGGTAAGATACTAAATCCGTACGTCACACGTGTGTCGTACAAGGTTGACCTTGTTTTATTCGTTTTGATTGGATGACCGTGACCTCTGTCACACCGGGACTACTTTTTTCATTCATAAAAAATCGCGAGACGTCGTTCATTTTGCGATTACAAGGCAGAACTGAAGAAATTCATGAGAACGAGAGATATTTACAAACACTTTATTAAACCAAACAAGATAGTCACACGCATCAAATTCGGTTTGCATTCTATATAAGTTATGCATAGAGGTCCTACAGACATATAATCGAGCTAGATCTATACATCGATTTACAATGTACGACTGCCGATCGAGCGCGTCCCTTGACCGTGACGCACCCGAACATTTTCGCAACTTTCAATTTGATTTAACGTAAAAGGATAGGCGTGGTGAAATGAAGTCTGTTTAAACTATCTGGACAGATATCTAGACTTACTTGGGATTATCCGGTTGTGCCATCGGTGTCCCCCTTGAAGCGTATTTTGTGGCGCTGTTTCGGGAGGTGTTGTTCATGAACATTCCCTATCTCTAGCGTAAAACGCTGTGAGTGGATCGCGGTTGTCTTTTCTTATTCTGGTGGCGACCTTGCCCTTCGATCGTTCGAAGCTGTCACTGACATGCAAGCAGATTTGAGTTTGTTGATTTTCACGTCTTCAGTATATAGGGTGGTACAGTTAACATGAATGTCTTTGGCGAACAGTCTGATTTCCCTCTTCAAAATTGGTACGGACATGATGTAAATTCAGCTGATAGATCAAGGAAACCGAACCATTTTGATTGCACAGACGGGACCCCGGCAGTGTGATGCGTGTGACTGTTGGTCTGATATTCAAAGCGCGGCGCTAAAGTGACATTTCAAAATTTTTTATCGGTGTCCTGCGTACTAACAACATGGCGCTTGAATTACCATAAGTTGAAGACTTTCTTCCAAAAGGATCTTGAGCGTCGGTGCTGGTTTGTTTGCAAACAGAACAGCAGGCGCATGTTGTTAATGCGTATGCATAAACATGTCAACAATGCCCATATTTGGTCATATATCAATATTCCTGCGCAACCAGATTTTGCAACCGGTTTCAGTTTGGTCTGTCAACGAACGAAAGTTGTTATGTATTTACACTTAAATATATATTTAACGTGGGTAATAAATAAAATACCACACTCATTCTCGTTAGATACCATTTTTACGAAACTCTTGAACTTTCTATGGTATCTGACCTCTCTTTCGCTCGGTCAGATACCATAGAAAGTCCACTCGTTTCGTAAAAATGGTATCTAACGAGAATGAGTGTAGTATTCTCTATGTATGTTTTCTGGTGGTCATAGTGAAACAATGACATTTGGCGCCCGAGTTGCGAGTGATCGAAATTAGGTTTGTTGAATAGATTTGCTGCCATTGAAAACGTTTCAACAATTTTGATTGAATCTACATGTACTTACTCTTGGGTGGTATTACGTTAGTGTAAACTTGTTAATTATTAAGAAATAACAATGATGCCCGATATTGAGCGATGTCTATTTGAGTATTGTTAGGCCTGCTAGCGATCTTTCACATTTTGTCCTTTGAAAATGTACGATGTCCATTACCCCGAAGTTGTTTTTAGCACTTATAAAAGGGCACGGTCATTGTAACATACATGGACGTAACCGGGATTTCTTCAAGATATACATTCCAAACTGTCATTCGTTTTGTGACATAATCTTTGAAACAGTCTGCGTATGAATTAATCACGACCACTTCCGTCAATTTTGTTTTGACGTCAAAAACACGCACAATTTCATCGGAATTTTTTATCGGTAGATATAACTCACGGAAAATTCTCGTTGAATGTGTATTTCAACATAAATATCATTAAAAGTACGGTTTCTTTATGCGGTTACCATAGTGATGTCTTCACGAACGAGGTCATTCGTCACCACTCGCCCCTTTCCGTAACCTGCAAGAAGACTCGTCCCCCTATCGATGAATGTTATGTGTTAAAATACGACAAACCAATCAGAATGCGCGTATGATTCCAGTTTTTCGTCAAAGAATCCCTCAGAAACAATTTTTGATTTAACATATGTCTTACATCTAAAAATATACCCAAGACACAGTTAAATGTGGGCAAGCATACTGTGTAATTCCGCATGACCCGATGTGTTTTAAATTGCATCTGAAATATACATAATATATGGAGAAATATATGTGAACTATTACGCAACGAGTTGACAATTGTTTTAGGTATACCCGTTTGCGCTAAGACGGAACCCGGTCGCAAAAATGGCCATGAGAGGGGCACAAGTAGCTATTCGGCTTGTCCCGGAACAACACGAGTTGGTCACGAATGGTCCCGGAATAACACGAGTTGGTCACGAATGGAACGAGGTGTGGCTGGATTAGTTGGGGGCAGAGAGATAACTTTGTTGTATGAACACTGGCTCCAGACGCCGAGGCCTGGGTTCGATTCCAGTCATGGTTACAAGGCCGTGGAGCACAATCCGGGTCCTTCCCACATTGATGATTCTGGATCATTCCCTTCGTGGACGGAATTACTATTCAGATTAGTGTAAAACACAACTCACTCACTCACTCACTCACTCACTCACACTCGAGGTTTGGGATGAGGATGGCACAATGCACAAAAGGAACTATAGTTGTAGACTAAGTGGACACAGTTAAAGACGAATGACTCGACGGTCAGTTCACACCAAATGTATTCGATCCACATAAGCCTCACAACCCATGAAGATCCGGGGTAGAATAGGTCTTCAGCCACCCATGCTTGTCTCCCATGAAGATCCGGGGTAGAATAGGTCTTCAGCCACCCATGCTTGTCTCCCATGAAGATCCGGGGTGGAATAGGTCTTCAGCAACCCATGCTTGTCTCCCATGAAGATCCGGGGTGGAATAGGTCTTCAGCAACCCATGCTTGTCTCCCATGAAGAACCGGGGTGGAATAGGTCTTCAGCAACCCATGCTTGTCTCCCATGAAGATCCGGGGTGGAATAGGTCTTCAGCAACCCATGCTTGTCTCCCATGAAGATCCGGGGTGGAATAGGTCTTCAGCCACCCATGCTTGTCTCCCATGAAGATCCGGGGTAGAATAGGTCTTCAGCCACCCATGCTTGTCTCCCATGAAGATCCGGGGTAGAATAGGTCTTCAGCCACCCATGCTTGTCTCCCATGAAGATCCGGGGTGGAATAGGTCTTCAGCAACCCATGCTTGTCTTAAGAGGCGAGTGACAGGATGGGGTAGTCGGGCTCGGTGTCTTGGTTGATGCGTGTCATCGTACAACGACCGTGTGGATCGTTGATCATAATATCAATCATTGATTTGGCTGATACAAGCTCGATTATTTACAAGCCGCCGTTAAAAAATATGTAATTAACAAAAAAATTCGCCATCAGTGCTTTGGAAAAGAGTATATCAAGGACAACATATTTTTAAAGACTATTAATTAGCAAACTCTGCTCCAAGAAGAAACACAATTAGTCTTACCCCCACCTCTACCAAATTGATATTTGTCCCAAAAAAGGAAGGCGTCATTTTCCTCAAAGAAAATGCCAGCCAGTTTCAGTACCTAACAATTGCTGTACTGAATTACGCTTCTCATTTCTTTAACTACAGTTTGTTTGTTAAGGAAGTTAACAAGTTAACGTTCTAATACAAGCTGAAAATAAAAGGTATGCATAACTACGGTTATAACGAACACGCTTATAACGAACACGCGGATATAACGAACTTACTTTTTAGTCCCAACTATTTGCTGTAGTTATGCTGTATATATGCTTATAACGAACTACGGTTATAACGAACTCAAATTAGTAGTCCCTTTGAGTTCGTTATAACCGTAGTTTACGGTACACTGACACTTCATCCCTTGAGCTGGGTCAACATTTCAACCATAATGTGACATACCGTTACATGTTTACATGTAAATGAAAGTTTTCCCATGTTTTCAAACGCCTTGGGAGATGAGAAAGTAACGTTAGGTACTGTAATAGAAGCCCAAGGCATGACGGGACCGGAAGAATCACGTGGTCTCCTGGGTGATTGATGCGATGACGTTTGAAAGTTGGAAACGAAAATATGGCCGACGGCAGGGGTGCTGCTCAATCCGTAGTGCATGACGGGATGTTGTTGTCACGTGATCAACGCCATGTTTGGGAGCAGGGACGCACGGCTTCTCAAATGTTGGATATATTTGTGCAGTGTTATAACAGTAAGTAACGTCTTTTCAATTCATAGATTGTAAACAATGCATACAATAATTATGCATTGTTTTCATTGTCTGGGAAATTAATTACTTTTCTTTGTCAGTCATTAATGCAAAAAACGACCCCAGAAAAAAATCACTGTTATAATCCTTACACTCTGAGGATTGTATATTTTAGTATTATCATTTAAATATTGAGAGCATGATTTATATAATCATTACTAAAATACAAAATGTACTGTAACACGCAATAGTATAGGCTAGATTTTAAAGGATAGAAGTGAGTCTTATTTACCTATTATACTCATTTACGGAGAATTGTTTCGTCGTTGTATCTCCTTAAATTTTAATCAGAATACTCGCCTGGTTTTGAATTTCGACGCTTAAACATCTGTCACATCATGGATTATTTATCACATGGATTATATTTTCTGAACGCGGCACTAACGCGTGTCTCCTTATCCAGTCCTGTGGCATATATAATGAAACCTCGTTAATACGGACACCCGGCTACCGGACTACTGCTGTTGAGAAAGTCTATATAATGTTAACGGTTAACTACTTCGTTTTCCGGATGGTAACGGTACCGACGCATGATTTTGGAATTCGACGCTGGAACATATTTCTCATCATAGTTTATTTTATATAAAAGAAGGTATTTTCAAAAAGCGTCAGTCATGAGTGTATTCCTTATCCTGTAAAAACACCCATGTTTCATATATACTGAAACCCCGTTATTCTGGAAACCCCGTTTTCCTACTGCTGTTGAGAATGTCTAACTGTATATAGTGTTAACGGCTCATTGCTAATTTGTTTCCGGATGGAAACGGTACCGACTCCGTTAACGAGGTTTCACTACATAAACAAATGGTAATAGTCCATGCTAGATGTCATGCTCAACGTGTACAGAGAACTATTTCCCCGGTCAGTGGATCAGCGTACAGTCGATTTTCATGCCCTGGTGCCCGTGAGGCGTTAACAGTCACATAGCCATCTCATTCTACCGGGTACCCATTCACGGCTGGGTGAACAGAATCATATTTCCAACAAAGTCACTTGAGCAAGGAGACACCACATGTGCTTCAGTGTGAGGCAGGACCGAAGCCCTAGACACTGTCAGGAGTCAAGCTGCCGAAAAGGGTCGCCCATTCAAGGACACTCCGCGACCAACGTTTCTTATTTTGATTCTCGTTTGTTCTTTATACAGATTATAATAACGGTACTATTACTTTATGTTCCAGTTGGTTAGCCCCACTGGGATCTTGGAGATACGGTTTGACCGGTTTCAGGCAGTTAACACTGGTCAAAATACAGCGGACCCAAATGCCGGAGGTAGCTCCACCACCGTATCCATGGCAACAACGCAATCGCTGGAAAACCTGTCGTCCAATTCCACCCCGACCCCCATCGTCCCCGTCACCCCCTCCTGGGAGGACCCACCCGTCTGCCAGCCACCCACCAGATACCGCTTCCTGCTCTGTATGGATATGTTGGGGTAACGTGTCATGTTGTCATGTTGTAGGTGGATATGTTGGGGTAACGTGTCATGTTGTCATCTTGTAGGTGGGTATGTTGGGGTAACGTGACATGATGTCATCTTGTAGGTGGGTATGTTGGGGTAACGTGTCATGTCATCTTGTAGGTGGGTATGTTAGGGTACTGTGACGTCATCTTGTATGTGGATATGTTAGGGTAACGTGTCATGTCATCTTGTAGGTGGATATGTTACTAGGGTAACGTGACATGTCCTCTTGTAGGTGGATATGTTGGGGTAACGTGTCATGTCATCTTGTAGGAGGATATGTTAGGGTAACGTGTCATGTCATCTTGTAGGTGGATATGTTGGGGTAACGTGTCATGTCATCTTGTAGGTGGATATGTTAGGGTAACGTGTCATGTGATCTTGTAGGAGGATATGCTGGGGTGACGTGTCATGTTGTCATCTTGTAGGTGGATATGTTGGGGTAACGTGACATGATGTCATCTTGTAGGTGGGTATGTTGGGGTAACGTGTCATGTCATCTTGTAGGTGGGTATGTTAGGGTACTGTGACGTCATCTTGTATGTGGATATGTTAGGGTAACGTGTCATGTCATCTTGTAGGTGGATATGTTAGGGTAACGTGACATGTCCTCTTGTAGGTGGATATGTTGGGGTAACGTGTCATGTCATCTTGTAGGTGGATATGTTGGGGTAACGTGTCATGTCATCTTGTAGGTGGATATGTTGGGGTAACGTGTCATGTCATCTTGTAGGTGGATATGTTAGGGTAACGTGTCATGTCATCTTGTAGGTGGCTATGCTTGGGTAACATGTCATGTTGAAGGTGGATATGTTAGGGTAACGTTTCATGTTGTCATGTTGTTGGTGGATATGTTAGGGTAACGTGTCATGTTGTCATGTTGTTGGTGGATATGTTGTGGTAACGTGTCATCTTCATGCTTCCACATGTTACACTACTCACAGTTTTTCTATATTCCACTTATAATGATGCTACATCTCTGACTGGCTACAAATCATTGAAAGCCGTGAAGATGCCGGGGTAGAAAAAGTCTTCAGCAACCCATACCTGCGGCAAGAGGCGAATATGCGGCTTGCTGCATGTCATCGTATCCCTATTGTGTGGATCGATGCTCATAATATCAATCACTAGATTATGTGGTCCAGACTCGATTATTTACAGACCGCCGCCATATAGGTGGAATATTGCTGAGTGCGGCGTCAAACAAGAAACCAACAAATAAAAGCTGTATCATGCATGAGCTAGTGCGCGTTATACCGGGGAGGGTAACCTGTTGCAGGCAGCCGGAGCAGTGCAGTCTGGGGCGGGAGGAGACAGAAATGTTGCAGATCACCCAGGGGACGGTCACACCCACGGGGGAGGGCAGCGACATCCTCATGTTCGGAAACAACCTCCGAGGCATGCCCAACCCACAGGTCAACCCTCTCCGATACAACTTCCCTACCTGGCCGGTAAGACTGTTTTGTCGCTCAGTCCGAGCCTACAGACTACCTTCCAGTAGATACAACCTACTTCTCGGTCGCTAACATGGATATCGCCGTCCTTACCTATAACCAGGGCTAACCCTCTCACATACAATCTACCTCTCGCTCGCTGAGATGAATACTGAACCACCGGGACAGGTGGTGAAAGGGTGTTCAATGTTACATGTCATGACTTCAGTTGTCTGCATGCAGCAGGTGGCCTTTCTCTCGCCTGCTGTCATCCAGTTCGTTCTAAACCCCGACTACTGTTTTGTTTCACTGTAAAGTATTTCGATGTTTTCTTATTCTTTTTGGTATTTCTTGCCTTCAGACGGTCCATTGGCCCGAGGGATTTTTCCCAAGGTGAAGGTTAAACATTTTCAACCAAAACTTACGTTACTCCTTCACCAAATGTCCCCTCCTTAGAAACAGCTGTTGGTCAGTTTAGGAACCGGTAATACACGTTGCATATAAACATACATAATAATTAAGAAAAATTCCTTTCTTGTTTTTGTTTATTTCTATGTAGGGTTCTATAAGTGTGACTGCATATGTGCAGTGCTGTGGAGTTCCAGATCCGAGTCGCTGTGAGGAGAAACTGTCTGGCAGAATGTCAGTCATTCCGTCTGTGAACCAGAGAACGGCTGTGCCAACCCTCGTCAATGTCACCAACAAGGGGAGGTAACTACAAACAAGAAGACTTTCACATTTTAGCAAAGAGTTACGCAAATTATTGCGCAAAGATTGCTTTGCGAAACGGGATCCCGAAATAACATTCTGAACATCCATGTTACATGTCTATTTGTTCGGTGCAGGGATTTATGGCATTCAAGGGGATTTCCCAGCAATGTCAGAGGCTTTCCCCATGATTGAGGTAAATGCTAACAATGTAACAGTTGCTGTGTATGAAGGGGGCGGTCGGGAAGCCTTGTGGTTAAAGCGTTCGCTTCTCACGCCGAAGACCCGGGTTCAATTCCTGACATGGGTACATTGTGTGAACATTTCTGGTGTCCCCCGCCGTGATATTGCTGGAATATTGCTAAAAATGGCGTAAAACCATACTCACTCACTCACTCACTCACTCACTCACTCTGTATACTGTATGATTATCGTGGATCACTGCTGATCGTTGCCATGGCGAGACTGTGTTGTATTGAAAGCCGCTAAGACTAAGATCCAGGACACTTCCTCTCTATTTGGTGGGTTTGAATTGTTCGATCCCGCGTTAATTCATCACTTCTGTCCTCATCAGCCTGATGTTATCGGTAACGATCCTATGCTCCCCCAACTACTACGGCGTCAACTGCTCGACGTTCTGCCGCGACGACAACCAGCTGGACAACCGTGTCTGCCACCCGACCACCGGTCAACTTGTGTGCAGTCCAGGTACGGTACACTATAATTTATAATTACACAGGTTAGCTACAACCATGCTACGGTGGGAGTCCATTTTATATCAGTTAGCTACAACCCATCTATGTGCGATCACATTTTACACTGGTAAGCTATAACCCAGGTACGTGCGATCACGGTTTACGCTGATTAGCTACAACCCAGGTACTTGCGATCACATTTTACTCTAGGTAGCTACAACCCAGGTACGTGACAGAATTTCTGCAAGGACCAAACATACATATTGGGTTTATAAATGTCATTGAGGTCCAGGGGGCACGGGTGGCCCAGTTGTCTAAGGCGCCGCGATTCGCTGTGCGGAGTTGCGTCCCGTGGACACGCCAGAAACCTATGATTGTGGGTTCGAATCCCGGTTCGCCCCGATTATGTTTCTAGGTTTGTCAGCACCATACCCGTGCTCGTGGGTTTCACCGAAGTGATAAACGTCTGAGACCTGCATCACTTCGGGCTTTCCTTCCACATTAAGCTGACACGCCGCGATATAACTGGAATACTGTTAAAAGCGGCGTTAAACCCAACTCACTCAAGAGTGTGATCATTGAGAACATGTAAACACACATCAGTCACAACGGCTGTATCAAGTCGTTTGTGTAGTCAACCTTTAAACGCACCTTGCTTGAGGGTGAAATTAAAGCCATCCCCTGCCTGTAGCTAGCTATACGTTATAATTACGAGATAATACCTTCTTGACTAACTGTGTTGCAGTTCTACCTTCAGTTGCTTCAATAGTATGACTAAAAAGGTACAGTCGATGCAGTCTGAGAATCCTGCATGCAGTACGCCTTCTTTAGGAATACTATCTCGGTGTTCGCTTTGCCTATTAGAGAGTGAGTGAGTTGGGTTTAACGCCGCTTTTAACAGTATTCCAGTTATATCGCGGCGTGTCAGCGTAATGTGGGAGGAAAGCCTGAAGTAATGCAGGTCTCAGACGTTTACCAATTCGGTGAAACCCACGAGCACGGGTATGGTGCTGAAAAACCTAGAAACATAATTGGGGAGAACCGGGATTCGAACCAACAATCATAGGTTTCTGGCGTGCCCAAGGGTCGCAACTCTGCACAGTGAATCGCGGCGCCTTAGACGACTGGGCCACCCGTGCCCCCCTCTGCCTATTAACTCATACTGACATTGTATACGACAGGCTGGAGCGGCAGGAACTGTAACGAGGACGTGAACGAGTGTGACCTTGGCGTCTGTCGTCATAGCGCCGGCTGTAACAACTTGCTGGGAACCTTCACCTGTCATTGTCTCAGAGGGAGTTCAGGTATGCCTAAAACCTTAAACCTTAACCCAATTCAACAACCATGGGCCATTGAAACCAACCTCACAACCTGAACATGACAACCATGCACCGTCGACACCAACCACAATACCACAAGCTTGACCCAGTGGTCTCATTGCCCGGGACCAAAGGATCTTCACGGGTCGACTCTTTCGTAGTTGCTTGTTTAGACCCATGAATGCACGGGGTAGAATAGGTCTTCAGCAACCCATGGTGGTCATAAAAGGCGACTATGCTTGTCGTTAAAGGCAACTAACGGGATCGGGTGGTCAGGCTCACTGTCTTGGTTGAAGCATATCATCGTATCCCAATTGCGTGGATCGATGCTCATGATGTTAATCACTGGATTGTCTGGTCCAGACTCCATTATTCGATCGCCGTAATAAAGCTGGAATATAGTGCGGCGTTAAACAACAAACAAACTCATTGCCCGAATCTTGCAACCCCCAAATCACAAGCAATACCCATCACTACTTAACCCGAAGGATCACCTCCGTGGTCTAGTGGATAGAGCATCTGTCCGGAGAGAGGAAGGTCCATTTTTCGATCCTAGGCCGCGTCATACCAAAAGACATTAAAAATTCATTTTTGCTACTCGGCAGTAAGGGAATAAGCCAATGACTGGTCGGCTCTGAGTGGTGTACCCACGTTAAACTGCGGCATGGTGTTAGTCGGCCTAGTACAAGCAGTCACACAGACATACGGCGGACGTGCATGCAGATCGCTATATAAGTGGAATTATCTGGCACGCAACGTTAAACCCCATTTCACCTCCCCTCACCTCACATCAACCCCAATTCCACAAACACCTCAAAGGCAAAGCCAAGCTCCATAAGCGGACAAACTCAGCATCACGAACATTACCTGATCTCAGAGGAAAATCATGAAAAAGATGCTCGAAAGAGCAATAAGGCAACCTGATACAAAATCCCCGACAGCATATATCGTTGCTCATAATATCAATCATTGGTTTGTTTGGCCCAGACGCTATTATTTACAGGCCGCTGTCACATAGCTGAAATATGGCCGGTAGGGCGTTAAACAAAATACAAACAAACATAATCATTATAATCACACACGCCCATCCACTACTCTCCCAGGCAGATTTTGTGAGAACCGTGAAGCAAGCTGTTCCAGCCAACCCTGCCTCAATGGCGGAACATGTTTTGAAGACTTGGCGTCCGTGGGCTTCCTGTGCGAGTGTGCCCCGAGCTGGAGCGGTGCCCAGTGTGCCACCCTGGTGCCCCGGACCACCCTTGGACCACCCACTGGTCACGTGACTGGAACAGGTAAGCAGCTTAATATGGAAGATTTAGGCAAGCTGTTTAAAGACGATAATCATGACTCAGTAGGTCCCCTCAATCAGCTTATGTTAGTTGAACCATGTATTTTTCTAAAACATAGGTCAGCTGTTGGGGTGTTTTGTTTAGTAAGGTTTAGAATTGCGTTTTCCTGTTTAACCATGTATGTCGAGCAGGGTAGGGTGATTTTCTTACCATGGACTCCCAATAAACGCTCATTTTGACTATTATTTACTTTCAGTGGCTTCTGAACAAGATGACCCGAAAACAGAGCCCCAGGTGGGTGGTATGTTATGAACCATTCATTGTTGAATCGTTGTTCATTATTTACAGCTGTGGACGCCTTGCCAAAATCGCAAAATCACTTTACCATAGTCGTAGCGCTATGGTCTTGTAGAACGTTAACATGATCTTTGTATATAGTTTATATCCTCTTCCTCTTCTTCCTCCTCCACTTCCTCTTCTTCCCCACCTCTTCCTCTTCTTCTTCCCCTCCTCCCATTCTTCCTCTTCTTCTTCCCCTCCTCCCATTCTTCCTCTTCTTCCTCCTCCAATTCTTCCTCCTCCTCTTCCTTCTCCCCTCCCCTCTTCCTCTCCTTCCTCCTCATCTTCCTCCTCCTCTTCTCTTCTTCCTCTTCTTCTGCCTCCTCCCCCTCCTCCTCCTCTTCTTCCTCCACTTCTTCCTCCACTCCCTCCTCCTCTTCTTCCTTCTCCTCTTCTTCCTCTTCTACTGCCTCCTACCCCTCATACTCTTCCTCTTCACCTCTTTTCCCCCTCCTCCTCTTCTTCCTCCCCCTCCTCCTCCTCCTCCTCCTCCTCTACCTCCTCCTCCTCATCATCATTGTTGTTGTTGTTACCCGACAGCGCCGATCATTGCAACCACCGGTTTGTCTGGCGCATGCACTTCTCAGGCCGCCTGGTGACTCTAATCACATCCTTGCTCCCCCCTTCCTCACCAGTGTACCATGTATTGATAAACATTTGTTACATGCCACGTATGCTTGCTGAAACATCACCTCCCTCTAACGCCAGCATGTGTACGTTATGTCTTCAGAGCAGCTCGGACTGGACGCTGTGGTACGTGGTAATAGCGCTGCTGGCGGTCACGTGTCTCGTCGTCATCATCCTCATCATCTGCGTCATCTGGTCCAGCCGCAAGTGGGTAGTATTCCCTGTTGTTCTTATCATCGCCGTGATTAACACTTTATGAAGGGACGACAGAAAACTACAAATGAATCCTAAACATCGAAATATATACCATTAAGAAGAACTTAAAGACCACACCATTGTTTCATTTTACTACAGTTAATCTATCATGGAAGGGCAACCCAAGTCTTTCATTTTATTATAGTTAATTTATCACAATCTCATTAAAATCAGATCTTAGTTCTTGCTATCGCTAAACAAAGATCTGAGGACATCCCATTACGGGTCACGTCGGAACGACCTTTCATCCAACCAATCAAAGCGTCGCTTACCAGATCATGAAAGTGACAGACGGAATGTGTTTTCTGATCATGCAACCTCGAAATATTTAACAGAGGGTATTCCGAACGACAGTTTTATGATTATATCCATACAACCTAGGCCATCTGTAAGCCATTCCAGAATGTTCTTTTTATCAGTTTTAAATTTTTTAACCGAGCATACGTCAAAATATGTTTCGAAGCGTAGTCGCCAGTTTGAAACTAGTGTCGTAAAGCTCGAGAAAGCTGCCTTCTGATTGGCTAATGTCGATTTCTTGGCAGTCATTTCATTGATGGATCAAAGTTCGCGAGAGGTCGTTCTGACCTGACCCGTAATGGGATGTCCTCAGATCTCTGTTTAGCGGTAGCGAAAACAAAGATCTGATTTTAATGAGATTGAATTTATCATGGAAGGGCAACCCGATTGTTTCATTTTACTATAGTTAATCTGTCATGGTATAGCATTTTAACAATAGTAATATGAAAGAATCCTTAACTTTTTTTGGGTAGTATACATGACATGTTCGTTGAGCACGGACGGTGTGTTAGCCTTGTGGTTAAAGCGTTCGCTCGTCATTCTGTCAAGTTCGACTCCTCACGTGGCATGTTTGTGTCAGGTGTCCCTGTTATTGCTGAAATATTGCTAAAGGTAGAATTAAACCACACTAACAAACTCACCTTCAAGGAGCAGTTTCAAATTTCTGTTTACTCGTAATTTCTTAAGAACTATCAATATTGTTTTCTTTATGAAGAGACTAACGTTACACAGATTTCATACCGTATCCCTGGTATCTGAAACTCACACATCCGAGACTTTATTCGTTCATCTGTTTGATGTCTATTTGAGCTTCACGACACAAAACAAATTCAAAATTGCTCTTTCTCGTTTTCATTTAAGTTGTCGTGACCTGGAAATTAAGCATAGGCGTAACTTCAATATACCTAGGGGCGGTCGGGTAGCCTAGTGGTTAAAGCGTTCGCTCGTCACGCCGAAGACCCGGGTTCGATTACCGACATGGGTGCAATGTGTGAAGCCCATTTCTGGTGTCCCCCGCCGTGATATTCCTGGAATATTGCTAAAAGCTGCGTAAAACCACACTCACTCACTCAATATACCTAGAAATTTAAGAAAATGTAAACTTTGTAACTTAAACCGCGCTGATAATAAATTCTATTTTCTTTTAGTGTGTCCATGCTTAACGAACTGTTAAGACATGTATACATCCTAACATATATAAATTTAACATTTTGATATCATCGCCATCATTACAAATCTAGCAACATATTTGTACTATGCACATATGGAAAGAAATGTAAGGTTAACTGCAATTCCGCCTGTACCATAGGTACACACAGGCCCGAGGCCTAAAAGTACTGAAATAAGCTGATTGATTGAGTGAGTGAGTATGGTTTTACGCCGCTTTTAGCACTATTCCAGCAATATCACGGCGGGGGATATCACACATTGTACCTATGTCTGGGACATCACACATTGTACCCATGTCGGGAATCGAACCCGGGTCTTCGGCGTGACGTGCGGACGCTTTAACCACTAGGCTACCTGACCGCCCCTCTGATTGATTGAAGAGACATACCTAAAACAAAGAATGTTATAGTACAAAGGCCTCTGACCTATCAACAATGGTACACTTGGGTTACAATAGCAAGTATAAACAATGACGATGTATACAATAAGGGTGACTATGTTCACAATTTACAGTGTTTGTTATAAACAAACCTTGATAGTGTTTTCAAATTAATATTAACAGTTTTTAAAGCTTTTAAATTTGTACGTATTCACATTATTAGAGAAATGCTTTGTAAGATCAATTCCTTATTTAGTTATACGCTGGACAAGGAACAGAAAGGATTAAAAAAATCTTCTGTGCCATATTTACAAACTTGGCATAACCTAAGTAGATTATCAACCATCTACCTTTATTAAAATGTAATCTAGGAAAACAAGGCTTCAATCTTACGAGTATATGGAGCCGCCTCCGTGGTCTAGTGGTAGAGTGTCCGCCCGGAGAGCGGAAAGTCCGGGGTTCGATCCCCGGCCGCGTCATACCAAAAGACGTTAAAAGACGGTACTTTGTGTTACCCTGTCTGGCGCTCGGCATCAAGGGGCTAAAACAAGGACTGGTCGGCTCGGAGTCAGTATACTGTGTCTGAGTGGGGTATTCATGTTAAACTGCGGCATGGTATCTCAGTGAGCTAGCACTATAAATCGGCATCAGTCCGGACTAGTACAAGCAGCCAGACACACGTGTATGCACGTCGCTATATAAGTGCAATAATCTTGGACGCGACGTTAATCCCCATGTTAATCCCACCTATGGGTATATTGCGAAACTTCTTTTCATTCAGTGTTAAATAGGGGCGGTCGGGTAGCCTAGTGGTTAAAGCGTTCGCTCGTCACGCAGAAGACCCGGGTTCGATTCCCGACATGGGTACAATGTGTGAAGCCCATTTCTGGTGTCCCCCGCTGTGATATTGCTGGAATATTGCTAAAAGCGGCGTAAAAACCATTCTCACTCACTCACTCACTCACTCACTCACTCACTCAGTGTTAAATAGTTCTCTGGTTCCCGTTTGGGGGAAGCGACCACATTTCATTTTATCGACCTGTCACATTTCAGACGCCGGTACCAGATAAGTGGGGCCACCAAACCCGACCAGGCCATAGCTACAGTGACCACGGTGACCACAGCCCCACCTCCTGGTCAGTTCGATAACATGGTGTATCTCCACGACCCAGAAGACCTTGACCTTCAGCCTCCAACCTCTAACCTTTATCAGCGTGCTCTCATGTCAGATGACCCTTACATCAACCAGGCATCCCTCTACGAAGACCGAATAGATCCAGATACACCGTTTGAAGGAGAGGGTCAGGATGTACCTCGTGGAAGCGGGAGACCTGTTTCATCAGCCACTGATAACTTTTACGCCTCTTGGGATTGTATTCTTCAACCGGAAGACTCTCAATATGAGGCTATAACCTTTCAAGGTTTTCAGGAACGACTAGATGGTCTGCAGCGTTCTCAGGCAGGGACGTCCCCATCCTATCGCCGTGGTAGTGACCCTGCTTCAGATTCGAATTTTTACCCAACACACCCGGGCTTGTACCCTGTTGATTTTATTCAAAGTGACACTTCCGAAATGGTTGCTTCACAGCCGAACAATGATCGTCGACTTTCAACATTTAGACCCGTGCCGGAGTCTCAAATCAGCGGACAATTCACTGAACCAATTTACGACCGCCGGTTATCTGTTGAGCCAACAAATGAAGATGTGGCTCAGAGCGATCAGAGATTCTCGAGTGTCTCCCAAACAGTTCAAGCTGATCGCCGAATGTCCACGGAGTGTGTCAATGAAGACACAAAGGTCACAGGTCCAAGGGTGGTAACATTAACCAATCCTTCAGTCAGTAGTTCTTTTAAACGACCATGCCCCACCCCCAGAGCGAGTAGAACTATTGCCAAGGAGGCTCACACAGAGAGTAACAGCGAAATGTCATCCACCCCACAACTGAGCAGCAGGAAGAACAGCGAAATTCCATCCGCCCCGCATCAGAGCAACAGGAAGAACAGCGAAATACCATCCGCCCCGCATCAGAGCAACAGGAAGAACAGCGAAATACCGTCCGCAGCACAGCAGGGCAAGAGGAAGAACAGTGCGGACCTACTGAATCAGATAGGAGGACTTCTACAGGATGGGCCCGCGGAGAACAGTCGAAGCAAAAGTGGTTCCTATGCCCTGAGCAAGTGATAGAGAACCAGAACACTACTATCAGGAGCCAAGTCTATTTCGCGACATCCTGATTGTATTGCACAATGGCAATTTTAACGATTTTGTATTTATTTAAGTTTTTTTATATTAAAATCATTTATTTAGAAAGTCTGAATGCAAATAAAGTTATTATTTTGTTATAGTTGCTTTGGCACAGCGGAATTCTAGACCTTTGTAGAGAATGTTGTTATTATATTTTTCATTCTTGGACTCTAAATTATATTTTACACCCAAGGAGATTTGAATAAATTTCAAACTACTTCATCACCGGTGAGAGTTTAAAAACACTTCGAAGTAGAATACCGGCACGGTTTAAAATAAAATGTATATTTAAATATTGAACAATATTAGAAATCTTGACTACTATTTGATGCAATACGCCCGGGCCTAATACAGGGAGTGAGTCAATTAAGCAGATATAGGTGATTTAACAGACTGAAGTCTTAAGAAAATAGTTTGTTAAAATATTTCGACTTTTATTAAGAAAGGAAAATACTTTCCATGCAGATTATTAAAATATATTTTGTTTGAATTTAATTTCCAAGTCCTTATTTGTTCATTGCCAACTTCTGTTGTATAACGGTTTGTTGTCATTTATGGTGAAAGAAGCAGTTTTTTTTATAGTTTTGAACAGGAATGTCTTAGTTCGAATGCCGAATAACTTATTTGTTTATGTTTTATGTAGAAATGGTAGTATACCAGCTTGTAGATGTATATGCTGTAATGTTGTGGAATAAATGAATATGTAATGAAACCTTATTGTGATTCTGGGATTGTGTTTGTTTGTTCGTTCGTTTGTTGTTTAACGCCGCACTCAACAATTTTACAACTCTATGACGGCGGTCTGTAAATAACGGAATCTGGGCCAGACAATCCAGTGATTAATATCATGAGCATCGATCCACGCGATTCGGGTCTATGGCATGCATCAACCAAGTCAGCGAGCCTTACCACCCGATCCCGTTAGTCGCCTCTTACGACAAGCATGGGTTGCAGGATACCTATTCTACCCCGTGCATTCATGGGTCTAAACAAGCAACTACGAAAGAGTCGACCCGTGGATAGCCTTGGGTCCCGGGCATTGAGATTGCTGAAGTCCTATTTCACCCCTGATCTTCACGGGTCTCTGGGATTGTGAGCTTTCAACATTTAGGTGTTATAAATGTTAAATAGCAAAACCATTAAGTGTTAACAAATGCCTACCCTAGACCCAATACAGCATAAGACATGAAGTGCCTACAAATATCTATCCGAGACTGACTTCGGCATTAGACATGAAGTGCCTTCAAATACCTATCCAAGACTAACTTCGGCATTAGACATGAAGTGCCTTCAAATACCTATCCAAGACTAACTTCGGCATTAGACATGAAGTGCCTTGAAATGCCTATCCAAGACGAACTTCGGCATTAGACATGAAGTGCCTTGAAATGCCTATCCGAGACCTATACATACACATGCCTGGGACATAATTGCCTAAATACGCTCATTGAATGATGAATACGGTACGTAGTGCCTGCAGATGCGTGTGCCTATCTCAGAATAAAGTCCACGAACGCCTGTCACACTAATTAAAAACATAGAACGGTTATTGTGAAAAGGAGTGGGATGATTGCTCGTGTCGATTTGATCAAAACAGATCATTCGAACCGCGCATAAAATCCTAAACGCTAACCAGTAACAATAACTGGCTATATCCTATATCAAAGTCTGCTTTTCACCTTGACCTTTTAAGCCGAATTTTCTTGACTCGTTCTCTGATTGGGCTATCGATATGCGCGATAATTCTCTCCCGAAAGGGTCCGCCTCTGTGGACTAGTAGATAGAGCGTCCACCCTGAGAGCGGAAGGTGAATGGTTCGATCCCCAGCCGCGTCATACCCCAAAACATTAAAAGATGGTACTTATTGTTATTTAGCCTGCCGCTCGGCATTGAGGGGCTAAAACAAGGACTGGTCGGCTCGGAGTCAGTATACTGTGTCTGAGTTGGGTATTCATGTTAAACTGCGGCATGGTATCTCAGCAGGATGGCACTATAAAATCGGCATTTGTCCAAACTAGCACAAGTAGTCACACACACACACACACACACACACACACACACACACACACACACACACACACACACACACACACACACACACACACACACACACACACACACACACACACGTGCATGCATGACGCTATATCGTGGCCTTGGGTTTCACCGTAGTGGTAATCATCTCAGACCTTTCCTCGAATATTAACTAACAGTAGATTACCTTTCTAACCTCCAACTGTAGGTTGGGCGGAACACCGGAGGCGTGATCTGGCCGTGCACAGATTGCAGTGACACCTGAAACGTCAATACTCCACGCCCCAGGTACACTCTGACGCCAGATGGCGTTTGCACTTCTCTGGTTCTATTACTTCTATACCAACACGAAACATGACCATATCCATATCTACATCTACATCTTTATAGGACACGCGGAGAAGGCGGACATATGGTATGAGACACGCGGAGATGACAGGCATGTGGTATGAGACACGTGGAGAAGGCGGACATATGGTATGAGACACACGGAGATGGCAGACATATATGGTATGAGACACAAGGAGAAGGCAGACATATGGTATGAGACACACGGAGATGACAGACATATGGTGTGAGACACAAGGAGATGACAGACATATGGTGTGAGACACAAGGAGATGACAGACATATGGTGTGAGACACGCGGAGATGACAGACATATGGTGTGAGACACACGGAGATGACAGACATATGGTATCAGACACACGAAGGCAGACATATGGTATGAGACACGCAGAGATGACAGACATATGGTGTGTGACACACGGAGATGACAGACATATATGGTATGAGACAAGCGGGGAAGGTAGACATATATGGTGTGAGACACGCAGAGATGACAGACATATGGTGTGAGACACGCGGAGAAGGCAGACATATATGGTGTGAGACACGCGGAGATGACAGACATATGGTGTGAGACACGCAGAGATGACAGACATATGGTGTGAGACACACGGAGAAGGTAGACATATATGGTATGAGACACGCAGAGATGACAGACATATGGTGTGAGACACACGGAGATGACAGACATATATGGTATGAGACAAGCGGGGAAGGTAGACATATATGGTGTGAGACACGCGGAGAAGGCAGACATATATGGTATGAGACACGCGGAGATGACAGACATATGGTGTGAGACACGCGGAGAAGGCAGACATATATGGTATGAGACACGCGGAGATGACAGACATATGGTGTGAGACACGCAGAGAAGGTAGACATATATGGTGTGAGACACGCGGAGATGACAGACATATGGTGTGAGACACGCAGAGATGACAGACATATGGTGTGAGACACACGGAGATGACAGACATATATGGTATGAGACAAGCGGGGAAGGTAGACACATATGGTGTGAGACACGCGGCGAAGGCAGACATATATGGTATGAGACACGCAGAGATGACAGACATATGGTGTGAGACACACGGAGAAGGCAGACATATATGGTATGAGACACGCGGAGATGACAGACATATGGTGTGAGACACACGGAGATGACAGACATATATGGTATGAGACAAGCGGGGAAGGTAGACATATATATGGTGTGAGACACGCAGAGAAGGCAGACATATATGGTATGAGACACGCGGAGATGACAGACATATATGGTGTGAGACACGCGGGGATGACAGACATATGGTATGAGACACGCGGAGATGACAGACATATGGTATGAGACACGCGGAGATGACAGACATATGGTGTGAGACACAAGGAGATGACAGACATATGGTGTGAGACACGCGGCGATGACAGACATATGGTGTGAGACACGCGGAGAAGGCAGACATATGGTATGAGACACAAGGAGAAGAAAGACATATGGTGTGAGACACGCGGAGATGACAGACATATGGTGTGAGACACGCAGAGATGACAGACATATATGGTATGAGACAAGCGGGGAAGGTAGACATATATGGTGTGAGACACGCGGAGAAGGCAGACATATATGGTATGAGACACGCGGAGATGACAGACATATGGTGTGAGACACGCGGAGATGACAGACATATGGTATGAGACACGCGGAGATGACAGACATATGGTATGAGACACGCAGAGATGACAGACATATGGTGTGAGACACGCGGAGATGACAGACATATTGTGTGAGACACGCGGAGATGACAGACATATGGTATGAGACACGCGGAAATGACAGACATATGGTGTGAGACACGCGGAGAAGGCAGACATATGGTATGAGACACAAGGAGAAGGCAGACATATGGTATGAGACACAAGGAGAAGGCAGAGATATGGTGTGAGACACGCGGAGATGACAGACATATGGTGTGAGACACGTGGAGAAGGCAGACATATGGTATGAGACACAAGGAGAAGGCAGACATATGGTGTGAGACACAAGGAGAAGGCAGAGATATGGTGTGAGACACACGGAGATGACAGACATATGGTGTGAGACACACGGAGAAGGCAGACATATGGTGTGAGACACACGGAGATTGCAGACATATATGGTATGAGACAAACGGAGATGACAGACATATATGGTGTGAGACACGTGGAAAAGGCAGACATATATGGTGTGAGACACACGGAGATTGCAGACGTATATGAGACACACGGAGATGACAGACATATATGGTGTGAGACACACGGAGATGACAGACATATATGGTGTGAGACACAAGGAGAAGGCAGACAGATATGAGACAGGCGGAGATGACAGACATATAAGGTATGAGAAACGCGCAGAAGGCAGACATATATGGTATGAGACACAAGGAAAAGGCAGACAGATTTGATACGAGACACGCAGAAAAGGCATTTGGCACATCGGGTTATCAGATATTGTATAAACACGTAAGGTATATGACACATGGGATAAACATTGTACAACCGTGTGGTCACGCCTGCACTAGAGGACTCCATCACGGCGTGACTGGAGGGTGCGACAAACGAGAGTTAAGAAAACGAGAAAATAGTTGGAACCGGTAAAAAGCGTAGAAAAGATCTAAAAAACAACTCAGATGAAGGTTTGTTAAAACAAGACAAACAAGCACTTGGAAACTTGTTGGGCGCGACGTGAACTTCGTCTTTTCGTCCTCCTACGAGTTCAAAAGACCATCAACGCATTCCACATTCCTCCTCCAAACAAAGGTAAAGTCAAGTTACAAGCAATACGACCCCAGCTAAAGATTATCAGGTATACACATTTGGAGACCTGGAATCTAAATTAAACCAATACCCAATAACGAAAACATGAATTACCGAGTGAATTTTATTTAACGCCGCAATTGGCAAAAACTTCAGCGTTTTCAGCGTGGCCTGTAAAAAGTCGAGTTTGGACAAGACAAACCAGTGATTGATAGTATGAGCAGCGATCCACACCGTCGGGGCACGGTGACATGAAATCAGGGAAGTAACCTAATTCTTAACATAGGTAATATAGTGCTGGGGAGCAAACGGGGTTAAACTGCATGAGAAACGTTATACTCCGTCGTGTGCGCGCACGCACAACCAGCAAGGTCACACAAGGTCACACAAGGTCAGACATTGCAGCTTTCCGATCCATATAGTCAGCTCTTACAAGCATGGGGTACAAGGAATTTATCTTACCGCCATGTTTATCATTTACCACATTTTGAAAAGAAGCCGAGCCTGAGACGCAAGTATTGGCGTGTGAACTCAAGACATCAATTTGTTCACGTTTCGGATCTGTACACCACGTGCATCAAAAGTCAATGTTTATTTACATGACGCGACGCCATTTCGCAGTAAGGGGCTTGAATTGCTGCAGAGGTTAGAAAGAATGACAACATGTTGCCATGACGACGGGGAATATTTTTTTCGAGTTGGGCACCGCTGTAGCAGCGTAAATGGAAATTTATTAAACGTCATTGACCAAAAAAATTCATTTTTTTACATGTAAGGTAAGATAACTAACTGCTAACACCACACCGGTCAATACTACAGGCATGACTAGCCGGCTACTATAATGTACTTTTCAAACATGTTACAAGCCGATACGTGTAATCGAACGAGTTTTCAGTGTGTCGAACGAACGCACAAACGCCGACGTCTGTACCAGCATTATCCACTGTTTGTGCTTCTATATTCCCCCTCGCTCCCCCCCAAAAAAAACAACAACAAAACAACACATACCAAAACGGTCATCTGTTAAAAAAATACCACTACTTACGTACGGTATCTTTTGAACATATTGCAAGAAGGTTCCAAGAGGAATGCGTTATGCATTTTCAGTCTGCTGCATTTATGATGCTTGGGTGTTGTGTAAAACTCATGCATTGACAGTTCCATTTCGGTAGAGAGATAATACATAATCAATAACAAATGAACATTTTATTTTGTACAGTTTATGTCATCCGGGAAAGAATTGGTCTTCAGCAACCCATGCTTTTCGTGAGAGGTGACTATGCTTGTCGTAAGAGGCGACTAACGGGATCGTGTGGTCAGGCTCGCTGACTTGGTTGATGCATGTCACCGTATCCCAATTGAGTAGATCGATGCCCAGGATGTCAATCACTGGATTATCCAGACTTGATTATTTACAGACCGCCGTCATATAGTTTGGATATTGCTGCGTGTGGTGCTAAATAACAAATAAACATTTTTTTTCTGCCGATCTCGAAAAGAACTCCATATACACAGTTGTATCCACGTGTCGCCAAATGCTGTTCTGTGGGAAAGAATGTCCACCAACATATAACCCTCTATCTAAACACCTGCCCCCTGCGCGGCTAGGGCGAACAAAGGAGTTGTATAAGTTATATATTGGTGAGGTGTGCGTAGTGAAGTCATAAATACCAGTGTAAATATTGTAAAATGTATATAGGCTAGCTAATATTTACTTTAATAGAGTTAGGTGTGATAAATACAGAAGACAAATACCGTCTTGTGTGGAGAGAGAGGGGGAGAGAGGGGGAGAGAGGCCGAGAGGGGAAAGAGAAGTGAGAGAGAGGGGGAGAGGGAGAGAGAGGGAGAGAAAGAGAGGGGAGAGAGAGAGAGGGGAGAGGGAGAGAGAGGGAGAGAGAGAGAGGGGAGAGAGAGAGAGAAAGAGAGAGAGAGAGAGGGAGAGAGAGAGAGGGAGAGAGAGGGAGAGAGAGAGGTTTCGGGGAGGGTCGCTATTTTCTTATATCATTAAGTCGACTTATTGAGACGTTAATTAAAATGGAGTTGAATATAATATATATGGACTGTAGACAGATACTCAGCGAATGTCACAAATATCATAAATCCCCACCGGATCACGCACAGAAACAGGAATGTATATACCAGAAAATTCTGTCACAAGAAGGCATGCCGTTTTCTTCAAATCTAAACAGAATGTTGGGCAGAATTCATAAACTAAGTCCAATGCAAACATCGACATCCCATGGCCAGAGATGTCACACGACAACGGCAGGTTGCATGGGCACACTTTTATTACCGCTCCAATGCAGTTCAAGGCACATTAAGCTTTAGTGTCCACATACACGTCTATCAAGATAGAACCTGGAATGTGTTTTCTCATTTCATGTAGAGCCATAAAAAGCACGATTGATCCATTTTTTTGTGCAAATATGAGGCTTGTGTCAAATTTATGCATTGACGATTTATGCAGGACAGTCATTCTTACATAGAAAATAGGTTAAGAATAAATATATGACTTTATTTAGTAACACCATATTGTCATCAACGAGGAGTCTCCAATTTAAATAAATTGTTTGTTGCGGGGAGGCAAGAATATATCAAGACAAGTATTATATATCAGGCACGATTCCAGGGTCAGTGTGTAGACTAAAACTACGCTGAAACAACATTCTGTACATCATCGAGGATAAAACACGTCGGAAGCTACTCCCACAGTTTATTATGCGTATACGAACATAAAAAGAAGGCATGTAGAGATTCGCCCTGCGGTACGCACTACATGATTGTACACAGAGTCATGAATATACGTGTAGGCATCGAAGGCTGAACGTCTATATACACCATCATAAGTGAGGACAGATAAAAGCTATGACAAATAACCGATTCGTGTCCCTTTGATGTGGCAGGATCCGCTGAAAGTTCTAGATTCACACTGATTATTATCACGCCCCATACTCTTTCTCATTGGTTTAATCAAAGTGGAATTTGTCTCCGACCTGCGTCACAAGGTTTTCCTCCCGTCGTGCTGTACCTTACTTAGTGTCCAATGCCTGGAATACAAACTCTCTGACTGACTCACTCACTCACTCCAAATATGTGTGAGTACCAGGTCAAGGTACGTGATGAATGGAGAGTTTTAGGCAGAATTAGTTTTAAGCGGAATATTTTGTAAGCAGAATTGGATGTAGGCAGAACAAGGTGTAGATAAACTGAATTGTAAAAAAGATATTTTGTAGGAAGAATAAGTTGTGGGATGAATAAGATGTAGTCAGAATGAGTTTTAAATATAATGAGTTGTCAGACAGAACAGGCTGTAGACAGAATAGGTTGTTGGCGGAATATGATATAGGCAGAATAGGTTGTTGTAGGCAGAATGAGCTGTAGGTAGAATATTTTGTAGGCAAAATGAATCTCACAGGCACAACGAGAGAACAACAACACGAAACCGAGTGGTTGAAATTGACATTTGGATAAATGTCATCTGTTACAAGTCCAGGTTGTCACGCGTAGAAAGTAGGCCAGGAGTTACGTATACAGATCGTGTATGTATCGTTACCCGCTGCCAGGCTACGATTTATAGCCATCGACTCAAAGTCTCTATTGTCAAGGTATAAATGGTTTCTGTGATTTGGCAACGGGGGCCAATTCACATGAATCAATGCCAATGAATTCCTAATTGAATTTTACTGAATGTAAGTATACATGGTGTTCATACCGGCACCAAACACGAGGTAGCTGCCACTACTGACGAATTAGGTTATATTGAGGGCAGCAGCGTTTACCTATCGACATCAAAACAGAGACTATTTATACACAACCGTGTCCATAAACGGGAGTGTGATATATGGACTAGAAAACTATTGAAGTCTTGGTATCATATCCTGTCAAGAATGACTCATATTGAAGAGATAATATATTGGTTTGATGCACACACGAACAATACTGGTATGTTGTGTGAACCGACTCTAATAAACACATTACCTGTGACGTCATAGATCCATGATTTGAGATGCACCATTTCTCTCGTGCAGGATTAGCGTGTAAAGTTTCGAAATCACGTGCTGCATGTCGGTATAAGAATAAAGACACTGTGGTTACATTTGACTGATTGTCAGTTTTGTCATTAAGTGGAACACACTGGAAACATCTCTTCTTAACGTACATACTTCTCTATATATTTCTATGGTTCGCGTTTATTTTGGTGGTTAGCGCACACACACACACACACACACACACACACACACACACACACACACACACACACACACACACACACACACACACACACACACACTTGTGATATCTCAAGTAAATAGTTCTTAAAGACATGAGCCTGGTCGAATCGGTCAGAATCGTTATTAATCATTTGACGCACAGATATTAATATAAGACCCCGCGTGACACGAAGTCGGATGAGTCGAAACATGGGAAGTGTTTTCTGTCTGAGTGAGTGAGTGAGTATGGTTTTACGTCGCTTTTAGCAATATTCCAGCAATATCACGGCGGGGGACACCAGAAATTGGCTTCACGCATTCTACCTGGAGAATCGAACCCGGGTCTACGGCCTGACGAGCGAACGCTTTAACCACTAGGCTACCTGCCCCCCCCCCCCCCCCCCCCCCCCCCCCCCCGGTTTTTTTTAACAGAGGTTGTATCATACATACATTGATACTTCAACAAAACACCTGCGTATCTAGTGATCGATACAGTGATCGATAAAGGAACAAAGAGAAAGAAAGGCCTATAAAACGAGAGCGTTAGGCGTGGCTCTCAAGTCACGTCAAGTCATACAATGCAGTGTACACTTGGCTCCGTCTTCATTGTATTTAAGTCCTGCACCAGTTTGAGTTTTTCGCCACATTAAGTTGTTCAAACCGGTTTTAAACCCCAATTCTCTCACTGCTGATTGTGCAATTCAGCATTCACGATCGTATTATCGACCTGACAAACTAAACATACATCTCCGTTCAAGCATACAAACGACAGGTTGACGCTTGCCGTTCGCCTTGAAAATACAGTATGCTGTGTGTATCAATTGTCGGACAAAACAGCTGCATATGCGAAATCAAGATCAGGGACAACCATTTCATTAATGAACACTGAACTTGGAAGAGGTGCACATGGGAATGCACGGAGGAAAGTCGCGATTCATGTGACATACTAGCTTATATTCATGTGATCTGTTGACAGAGCGTGCTTAGTGTATAAACAATCATTTATCATAATTCATCTGCCATTCACGTGGGCTGACATGTGTTTGGGAGTCTGCTACTTAAGGTAATACTTCTTATACCGTCGACCAGGTCACGCTAGTCAGTACGTGATGGGGACAGGGAAATGTCACGCAAACTCCGACACGGGGTTATCCCCCCGTCGCTGCTGAGAGCGGAGTTGTGGGGCAGTCACTCTGACCATAACTAGCGTTTACTTGCAACAATCACGTTTAATCAAGCGTGACGCTCACACTTATCTCAGGTTGTAATCGCGGCCTTATGCGATTTTACCTATTGACGGTGACGTCACGGTCACGTGATAAGCGTGACGGGAAGTGACAAATGAGCCAGTAAACTTTGCCGTAGCGCTGTCAACAGAGACGGGCTGATTCGGCTGATTGACCGAGGGCCGTGAGAAACAAACGCGGCTGTCTTTGTCTCGGCGGTGTTTTCGCTACCTGTCCGGCATCTTCTCGTTACCTGACCCCCTCCCCCGTGTGTCCTGGGGGTGATCTGTGGTCTCAAGGTGTGGGCGAATGTCAAACGGCAACGTTGTCTAAAGTTTCTGCGACTTGGAAAAGTGTTGTGACTTACTATACCTGCTCCGCGTGACCCCACAGGGACGGGGGTGAATCGGGCTTTATACAGCGAGTGACTCTCTCGGATTTCGGTTCTTGTATCACCTTAACAGACGCGGCAGCAGCTGAAGATGGGGAAGCAAGGTCGTGGATGGAGTGTGGCGTTCACACTATGGGTACTTGTCATTCACGTGAGTACCTTGTATTGCCACTGATAATATACACAGATACATTTGCTGTTCCAATGTCAACAAGTCCAGTTATCCTGGTGATGTCAGCTTCATCATCCATCGCCGGGGTTTGGGATGAGGGGACGAGTTTAATGGATGTGTAACTGTATAGACTGATGTTGTAGACTAACGCTTAGTCCCTGAACATATATAATTTTGATAGAAACAAATAATTCCATTTAAATCGAAAAGGCGCCACAGTGAGATTAGAGGTTCAGAACCTGAAGGAAATCTAGACTTGCTTCATTCAGGTCTTTTGCATTGCAGGGCTGGGCGGAGGGGAAAATACTGATTCGGGGACTGTGAGACACACTATTGTTGTAGCTGTGTTGGTCTTTTATTTCAAACGGTCTCCCTGTATATGTCTTAACATATAACGCGCGCTTGTGTGTTTAGTGTGTGTGTTTAGAGTGCGTGTCTGTGTGCGCTTGTGTGTTTAGTGTGTGTGTTTAGAGTGCGTGTCTGTGTGCGTGTGTGCGTTTAGTGTGTATGTGTGTTTTACGTGTTTAGTGTGTGTTTAGTGTGTGTGTGTGTTTAGTGTGTTTAGTGTGTGTGTGTGTGTGTGTGTGTGTGTGTGTGTGTGTGTGTGTGTGTGTGTGTGTGTGTGTGTGTGTGTGTGTGTGTGTGTGTGTGTGTGTGTGTGTGTGTTCAGTGGGGGGGGGGGGGGATTACAGATGAGGGTAAGTTTTATTAATAAATTATTAAAATAATTTATAATGGGTAAGTTTGTACTAACCCAGGCCAAATTTGAATCAGGGGTTACTGTCGGAAATCTTTCCCAGATGAGTAGGGATAGAGCGTGGAAGGTCGTGGGTAGTCGTCTCAGTTGTAGAGTGTACTGCGTTTAGGCTGCCAATCCATAGATTGAACTGCTTGCGGGTCTTTGTTGTGAGGAATTGCAGTGAAGGTATATTAAGAATACAGGTTTTGCATTCAGTACCCATCATTGAAGAAACACACTCAACCGTGAAGACTAGATTTGGATGTGTGATATAGGTGACAATAATAACATGTTGTGGGGAACTTTACTTATGTTGTTATCGGGCTGTTCAGTCGGTGAGGCCAGGCCTAGGGTTACCTTTAAACATGACACGGGGCAAGATCTGAACTTGGTAGATGTTGTACTGGGTTGTGGGTTGAGGGTGAGGACACAGTGTGATGGGACAGGGTGTATGTGTGATGAGACAGGGTGTGTGTCTGATGGGACAGGGTGTGTGTGTGATGGGACAGGGTGTATGTGTGATGGGACAGGGTGTGTGTGTGATGGGACAGGGTGTATGTGTGATGGGACAGGGAGTATGTGTGATGGGACAGGGTGTGTGTGTGATGGGGCAGGGTGTGTGTGTGATGAGACAGGGTGTGTGTGTGATGGGGCAGGGTGTGTGTGTGATGGGGCAGGGTGTGTGTGTGATGGGACAGGGTGTGTGTGTGATGGGACAGGGTGTATGTGTGTGATGGGACAGGCGGTGTGTGTGATGGGGCAGGGTGTGTGTGTGATGAGACAGGGTGTGTGTGTGATGGGACAAGATTTGTGTGATGGGACAGGGAGTACGTGTGATGAGACAGGGTGTATGTGTGATGGGACAGGGTGTGTGTGTGGTGGGACAGGGTGTGTGTGTGATGGGACAGGGTGTATGTGTGATGGGACAGGGTGTATGTGTGATGGGACAGGGTGTGTGTGTGATGAGACAGGGTGTGTGTGATGGGACAAGATTTGTGTGATGGGACAGGGAGTACGTGTGATGAGACAGGGTGTATGTGTGATGGGACAGGGTGTGTGTGTGGTGGGACAGGGTGTGTGTGTGATGGGACAGGGTGTATGTGTGGTGGGACAGGGTGTGTGTGTGATGAGACAGGGTGTATGTGTGGTGGGACAGGGTGTGTGTGTGATGAGACAGGGTGTGTGTGTGATGGGACAGGGTGTGTGTGTGATGGGACAGGCGGTGTGTGTGATGGGACAGGGTGTATGTGTGATGGGACAGGGTGTATGTGTGGTGGGACAGGGTGTGTGTGTGATGAGACAGGGTGTATGTGTGATGGGACAGGGTGTATGTGTGGTGGGACAGGGTGTGTGTGTGATGGGACAGGCGGTGTGTGTGATGGGACAGGGTGTATGTGTGATGGGACAGGGTGTATGTGTGATGGGACAGGGTGTGTGTGTGATGGGACAGGGTGTATGTGTGATGGGACAGGCGGTGTGTGTGATGGGACCGAGTGTGTGTGTGATGGGACAGGGTGTATGTGTGATGGGACAGGGTGTATGTGTGATGGGACAGGGTGTATGTGTGATGGGACAGGCGGTGTGTGTGATGGGACAGGGTGTGTGTGTGATGGGACAGGGTGTGTGTGTGATGGGACAGGGTGTGTTTGATGGGGCAGGGTGTGTGTGTGATGAGACAGGGTGTGTGTGATGGGACAAGGTTTGTGTGATGGGACAGGGAGTACGTGTGATGAGACAGGGTGTATGTGTGATGGGACAGGGTGTGTGTGTGTGATGGGACAGTGTGTGTGTGTGATGGGACAGGGTGTGTGTGTGTGATGGGACAGGGTGTGTGTGTGGTGGGACAGGGTGTGTGTGTGATGGGACAGGGTGTATGTGTGATGGGACAAGGTGTATGTGTGATGGGACAGGGTGTGTGTGTGGTGGGACAGGGTGTGTGTGTGGTGGGACAGGGTGTATGTGTGATGGGACAGGGTGTGTGTGTGGTGGGACAGGGTGTGTGTGTGATGGGACAGGGTGTGTGTGTGTGATGAGACAGGGTGTGTGTGTGATGGGACAGGGTGTGTGTGTGTGATGTGACAGGGTGTGTGTGTTATGGGATAGTGTGTGTGTGTGATGGGACAGGGTGTGTGTGTGTGATGTGACAGGGTGTGTGTGTTATGGGATAGTGTGTGTGTGTGATGGGACAGGGTGTGTGTGTGATGGGACAGGGTGTTTGTGTGATGGGACAGGGTGTGTGTGTGATGGGACAGGCGGTGTGTGTGTGATGGGGCAGGGTGTGTGTGTGATGAGACAGGGTGTGTGTCTGATGGGACAAGGTTTGTGTGATGGGACAGGGAGTATGTGTGATGAGACAGGGTGTATGTGTGATGGGACAGGGTGTGTGTGTGGTGGGACAGGGTGTGTGTGTGATGGGACAGGGTGTATGTGTGATGGGACAAGGTGTATGTGTGATGGGACAGGGTGTGTGTGTGGTGGGACAGGGTGTGTGTGTGGTGGGACAGGGTGTATGTGTGATGGGACAGGGTGTGTGTGTGGTGGGACAGGGTGTGTGTGTGATGGGACAGGGTGTATGTGTGATGGGACAGGGTGTGTGTGTGGTGGGACAGGGTGTGTGTGTGGTGGGACAGGGTGTATGTGTGATGGGACAGGGTGTGTGTGTGATGGGACAGGGAGTATGTGTGTGATGGGACAGGGTGTGTGTGTGATGGGACAGGGTGTGTGTCTAATGGGACAGGGTGTATGTGTGATGGGACAGGGTGTGTGTGATGGGACAGGGTGTATGTGTGTTGAGACAGGGAGTTTGTGTGATGAGACAGGGTGTATGTGTGATGGGACAGGGTGTGTGTGTGATGGGACAGGGTGTGTGTGTGATGGGACAGGGTGTGTGTGTGTGATGGGACAGGGTGTGTGTGTGATGGGACAGGGTGTATGTGTGATGGGACAAGGTGTATGTGTGATCGGACAGGGTGTGTGTGTGGTGGGACAGGGTGTGTGTGTGATGGGACAGGGTGTATGTGTGATGGGACAGGGTGTGTGTGATGGGACAGGGTGTGTGTGTGTGATGGGACAGGGTGTGTGTGTGATGGGACAGTGTGTGTGTGTGATGGGACAGGGTGTGTGTGTGATGGGACAGGGTGTTTGTGTGATGGGACAGGGTGTGTGTGTGATGGGACAGGGTGTGTGTGTGATGAGACAGGGTGTGTGTGTGATGAGACAGTGTGTGTGTGTGATGAGACAGGGTGTGTGTGTGATGAGACAGTGTGTGTGTGTGATGGGACAGGGTGTATGTGTGATGAGACAGTGTGTCTGGGTGATGGGACTGTGTCTATGTGCGATGGGACAAGATGTATTATGAAATTAAATTTTTAAAATGTAATAAAATATTAGGATATCCTGTTTGATCCTTCAGTTCATATTAGAACCCGGGAGTGATTTTAATGTTTCAAACGACGTGTGACCATATCTCGTATTTCTCTTATCTGGATACGACGTGTAACTCTAAGGTTTCTCCAAAAATAAATCCATAAAACACAGACATTTTTACCCTCGGTGTGGAAGCTCCAGTTGAATAAGAGTCCCGTTAGTTGTCTGCGGGGAAGCAGTAACAACCAGAACGGGGGTCATCGTTGGTGAGCCAGACCTATGCTAACAAACTTCTTTACCTTGCACATAATTATTCAGATCTTCTACTCTGTGTTTACAAATGAAACAAAGCCTGACTAGCAACACAAAACGACTACAGTTTTATGTGGGTCAGGATGTTCTTTCTTTGAGGTGAGGGTTAGACCCCGGGGGCAATGCCTTTCAATGATGGCAAATAGCGGACGTTGTATGTAGGTGAGAACTAGTCCCCGGGGGTGGGGTGTTGATGACATACATTCGAAAGTGAAAGGTCTAGTGAAATTTGCTTGTGGGAAATGCTGCCGAACGAACCTTTGATACTATATCATTATGAATATGCTATTAGTGACACTCATTGCTAGATAGGGAGAATTGTGAATATGTGATCATCTGATTGGTTGTAGCTTCAAGCAATGGTTGTTATGATGATATTCAACCCAAAGTTTGATGGATTATTGTTATTATTCCACCGAAATGATTACTTATAACGAGTATTGTAAAACGGTATAAATATCTTATTAACCCGATCAAAATTATTTTTGTATATATTTACAAAGTTTCCAATATTTTTTTAACACGATTTTGACTTGAACATGTACACGTATGTAACGTTTTG